AAGGACACTTTAATTGACTTCGGAAAGTTCAATTAAAGATACATTTCAGAACTTTCGTATGTCACCTAAAGATGACTTAAATACTTCTAATGTTAACCTTTAAGTTACCTTTAAGGAAACTTAATTTAGTTATTTCATCCTGTGAAAAACAAAGACAAAAGAAAGAAACAATGAACAGCCATGACTCTTTGGTATAGTTCAGGTATAGGAAGTCTGATAATTAGATTGGACCCCCCTCATGAACGACTAAATCAGTTCTATATCAACCTCAAACGCTGTGCTTTGGCTCCAATTATGATAGCGACAGTGACACAATCTGTGAGTCGACCCTTTGATCTCTTATTAATAGCTTATCGAGCGAGAAATGGAGCAGGGGGGGAGGGGTGGAGTAATTAGTTGGCAATGTGAAGATTGAGGCGAGATGGTTCTCTGTTAGCTGGAGAGAAGTCGACTGAGTAGTGAAACTGGGACGCTGATCTGCAAGACTTTTCCAAGAGGCCCTTTTCAAAAAGTGATGATTATGAAACTCATAAATTAAAGCTCTGAGGACATCTTACTAGCCTGATAGCCCGTAACATGGGAAAGAATATTTGGTTTGTCATTTCTGAAGTTCAAACACTTCGTAATCAGTAACTGTAAAATTTCCACTTCCCGCGAGGAATGTTTCAGCAACCTGTCCTGTGGGACACTGATAAGAGTTGCCGAGGCAGGCGAAACTTGAACTATTTACATTTGCGTCCCCTGATATATACAAGTCATGCCCTTCACCAAACGTCGGTCCACAACTTGTCTCACAGTAGATGGCGTGCTCGTGATTGTCAAAAAGCTGCAATTTAGTTGGACCCAGTCCATTGGTGTTAACCATGCTGAACAAGAACGCTTGTGAGCACCTGAACCACCTGCCAGAACCTATTGGTAAATCAGAAAAAGCACTTCAGATTTGATATTTGTATTATTAACATAAATAATGTAAATATAAATTTTGGAATACGAAATCAAGACCACTGCTAAAAAACCGGCTATATCACAATTCATTGTGTTTACTTATACGTCATTCACACCAGCCAAATATATTTCGTTGAACCGGTTTAACTTAATGAGCATCAAAAACAGAGAACTTATGAACTGAATTTAATTTCCATAGGATCCAAGTAACCACTAACACGCATTTTCAATGTACTGAGTTTACAGCCGATAAACATCGGTGTAAGAAGCTTCTAAGAAGAAAACCAAATTTAAATCGTGTTTGACAAAACTATTTTAAAACATGTTTAAGTTCTGGTGAGAACTAATTTTCTTTACTACTGGTTTTGCAGAGTCATCTCACTGGTTCAATTTTATAACGAGAAATAAGACATACATGTCGGGAAAAGTGTCGGGACAAGTGTAGGCTCGATTTCCACCGCTCTCGTCCGGTCTTTTTTGTTCCTCCCCGAGAAGAGAATGAGGTTTGGGGAGGAGCGCGGGCTCCATTTCCCGAACAGCGGCTGATAATCGAGCATAGCTAGGACAAGTGGGGATATGAAAAGCTTAGAATCTCTTAATATACGTAATCGTTTTCTCGTCGGCCAGAATACAGAATTTTATGACGTTCTTGGATAAAGCATAACACCAAACAAGCAGTAGTTATGAATTCAAAACAATGGGCCATCATTAGATACATATTCGAGCTGTGTTGATGCACCAGCCTCACTGGATACTGAACACGACTCTTCTCTAAGAAAATTAGACGAACTAAGCGTATTTTTTTGGAGTATTACTTTCCAAAAATTTTTTTATTTGCTCAAATCTTCAATTTTCTGTGCCCAGTCAAAATACGGAAAATCGGTCGCCATCTTGGCTCATGACCGAGTTTAAAGAGGAACGGTTCTAGCGAGTAATGTGACGTCAATTCGAGAACACGAAAGTCTGCATTTCACACATTTTCACTTGTTTGAGAAGATTGTAGTCGATTTTGTTGGAAAATATGCGTTTTAAGACGGACATATACAAGAAGCTCAGTTGCTCGCCATGTTTGTTAGGGCCGTGTGACGAAGCTTTGCTTGAGGTGAAAAGTTTCAGTCTCAGCACACAATGTAAGAGAAATCGATCAAAATCTCCGCAAAAATCTCACCGGAAATTATACTGAATACTTTCGCAGGTATCACAAGAGAACGTGTTTGAAAGTTTGCGAGGCTCGTATAAAACACGATGGTTGCAGGCGTTGATATGTCGCCTTAAACGTTAAACGAGATGTAAGCTTAAATCTTTCTAGATTTCTTGTATAATTTGCTGTGACTGAACTTTGCCGATCCCGTGAAGTTATTTCGTCGCACGCGCCACGCAAGTATGTCGAGCAACTGGCGCTTACGCTTACGTAGCTTTCTGTGCACGCCAAAATCTAACCTTCGCTTTGTAGTAAAGTCTTTCACAATATGGCCAAGGTTGCAGAGAAGGTTAAGTTCGTGGACGACCTTCAGCAAGCGCTTAGAGAAAGCTTAGCTGTGTTTCCGAACAAAAACTTATCGAAAGCATCGTGGGAAGGAGAGATGTTTTCAGACAGTTACCGAAGGGGTTTGAAAAGAGCTTAATCTTTCAACCGCTGCCTAGAGTGTTCAAATTCTTGAGCTCGAAATGCTACGGATTCTCTTCAAGTCCCTTGGTCTTTACCATTTCACCTCTTTTATCCATTGTTGAGGACCAAGTTAAATAATTTTGATCATTGGGAATCGATGCTGCTTTCATTGGGGAAAACAAAACCAAAGACCAAGAAATATTGGATGGAAAGGCCGGGTTTGCTTTATTGTAAATGTCAGCTTATTACAGGGTCATCTACGCACATCTGATAAACAAAAGTTTTCATGCTTAGCTTTTCTTTTTTTTTTCTCAAGCGAAGATTGGATTAGATTTTGGCGCGCATAGAAAGCTGCGTAATTATAAGCGCCAGTTGCTCGACATACCTGCGTGGTCCGTGCGACGAAATAACTTCACGGGATTAGCAAAGTTTCAGTTACAGCAAATTATACAAAAAATTTAGAAATATTTAAGCTTACATCTCGTCTAACGTTTAAAGCGACATATCAATGCCTGCAACGATTATGTTTTATACGAACCTCGCAGACCTCTAAACACGTTCTTTTGGGATACCTGCGAAAGTATTCAGTATAATTTCCGGTAAGATTTTCGCGGACAATCTGATCGATTTCTCTTACATTGTGTGCTGAGACTAAAATTTTTCACCTCAAGCAAAGCTTCGTCACACGGCCCTAACAAGCATGGCGAGCAACTGAGCTTCTTGTATATGTCCGTCTTAAAACACACGAAAGGACTCCGAAGCACACTTCACTCTGATTGGGCAGAAAAACACAAAAATTTTGTGGCACCAATCAGATGCCAGAACGACTACGACCATTTGGAACTAGTCTTGTGAGACAATGTCCCCAGGGGCTCTTCTGCTCTAACTTGAAATCGACTCACAGCCCCTGGGTCTCCGAGGATGGATTTGACGTCATATTACCCGCTAGAACCATTCCTCTTTAAACTCGGTCGTGAGCCAAGATGGTGGCCGATTTTCCTTATTTTGACTGGGCACACAAAATTAAAGATTTGAACACGTATAAAAAATTTTTGCACAGAAATACTCCAAAAAATACGCTTATTTCGTTAAGTGAAAAAAATTTTGGGGTCTAGGTGCACTTTCACTAAAATTACAGTAGTTCGAAAAAAATTAATTAAACGATGGTGTGGTTAGGCATTCTTCGGACCTTGAAACTGATATGCTTTCACAAAGGTCCAATCCAGTACAGGGGCCGGGGGGAGGGGCTAGAGCGTCCTACGAGACGAGACACCTCCTGTACATTAAACTACAGATATGTTTAACTTGTTTTCTAGTGCCTTAACTAAAACATAAAAATAACACATTACAGGACTCGACCCTAACGGTAGCCCACTAGCCACAGACTAGTAGAAATTCAGTTTTGGCTAGTGGTTTTCAATTTCCACTTGCCAGTTTGGTTAATAAACAAACTGAAATTGTCGTAAAATCTAAAAACATTTAAGATATCACTAGCCACTTGGCTAGTAAGTTGAAAAGTTAGTGTCGAGCCCTGCATTAACCATGGAACACCTTTGAAAATCGTCTTGAAGGAGTTCTTGAACGTTATTATCGATCTTGTTCATCACTTGCAATGTGTGTCATTATTCGAAGAAGTTTGAATGCAATTTGCCAAACTAAGTCTAATAATATTTCATTTTGATTTCTTTAACCGTTTAAATATTTTTGCTCTCTCTATATAGTATCCTTCAAATTGAAATTGAGTTTAAACGCCGGCAAAAATTAAACCACTCAAAATAATGTTATTTAACACGTTACGATCAGCTATTATACTTACTGTCCCACGATTTTTCAGAGAATCCTCCAAAAATGTAATTTCCGCTCTTTACAATGGTGACAGTGGGCCCTCTGTTGTCACATTTGGAGTGAAACGTTTGAGCTTCAAAGCCATCTCGGGAACCTCTGAATAGAAGCTTCCATTTGCCGTCTTGTGGAGATAACCAACGATTTAACACGCTTCGGTGCTCTTCATTCGTCAGTATCACGGAATCTTCAAAATACTTTGGTTCTCTAGTATTTAACTCCTCCAGTATTCCTCGGATCTGGTAGAACTTCGCTTCAGCTTCGAGCTCTTTGAGAAATGTTGCGCCATCTGGTAAAATCAACTCCCCATTGCGAAGATAATTGAGTATAAACCGGAAGTGAGTTCCATCTCGGTCGATGAAGTAAGCGCCGTCTTCAGCTGGCTTCATTTCAAACTTGCCCGAAAACATGGCAGCCAGCATTGAATTTGGATCTTTAGTAAGCGTTTGAAGACTTGTCGTGAAATGGTGGCCGCCGACATTTAGCTTTACAGTCGAAGAAAAGTGAACATGTTCCAACTTCTTCGACATGTCGTCAATTGCTTCTCGCTCCTGACGAAGTTTTACTGCTTCTCTCTGAAATATTTCGCATGCATCTTTAAAGAACTTTTCTGCATCTTCCAGTTCATGTTTTTGTTCTTTCTGGCCCTCTGAATTGGTGTTTTTACTCATGATTACCTTGATCACAACAGTTAAATTGAAATCGAAAGGAACAGTCTCAAACACCCCTAGACGATCGCAAAGGACGATGAGAGCAGCCATCATGACATTGGAGTAATTGCCAACCTCGTTCCCAGGGTCTTCCGTCTTCCCGCCCTCGAGCGAGAGCTAAGAGAGACCCTGGTTTAGGCTGGTCACGTGTTAACAGAGCAAAAGAAAATTCCCTCAGGGACGAGTCGTTCCTTTGCTCGATTTTTTCCCTCATTTCCTTTGTCATCTTCAAATCGACGCTATTGTTGTCTAGGTCGCCATGTTTTATAGCAGCCTTCAAGTCGCTTCATCTTGGAATAGGTATTGTGACCTCAATTTAAAACTCAAACAAGTCCAGTGTTTAGAAGCGATATATTCGGGCAGAGATGTTGGGGCCGTTTTACCGACGGGATACGGTAAATCTTTGATTTTTCATCTTCTTTCTTCATTCTTCTTCGAGAGGTTAAACAGTCAACAACCTGTACCTTCTTTGTCATTTCGTCCAGTTGTTATTGTTGTTTCGCCCTTGAACGCCTTTAATAAAGATCAAATAAGAAGGAGCGCCCGGCAGCCGTAAGTTTATTTGTGATTAAATGAACACTGGCATGTCAACAAAGGAAAGCGAACAAGAACGCGCAATCGCATGCGGATAATTTTCCACTTCTGAAGGAAATAGAGACTAGGAAAAGAGAGATCGGTTAGACGAGCACAAAAAAATGTGTGTACGAATTTTCCTGGTCTTGGACAGCGTCTTCCGAAACATCTCCTACAGCGGCTTAGTCAATCAAAGGTAGCTCATTGTGAAAGAAATTTGTCACCTTTAGTAAAAATACTTGCAACTCGGAAGCGGCAAAAAAGCACCTGAGACCTCGAGACGTTTGTATAGTATTAAATATATTAATCAATAGTTTCACTAGCAACCTTTGTGGCTTCCCTTGGTGTTGATGTATGGGATCCCATGAAAATGGGTTCCCACTTCACCGATGAGCAAACTCGTGATCAGTGGGTAAAAAAGGAACCAAGCGTATGCAAGGGTGGAAATGAGTGTGTAAAATGAACATAAAAGTTAGGTGTTAAAATTGAGGGAGCGACTTCTGTAACAACAGCACGCTCCTAAACTCAATTTAAAATTGTAAAAAATATATGTTATATATTATTAAAATAAAAAATAAATAACTACAACAGGTCAGAGGACCTTTTATTATAGAAGTGTAGCCATCTGGAATAAACTTGACTCAAGATTGAAACTATATGAAAAACCAACTTCTTTTAAAAGAGCTTTGAAAAGGTATCTCCTGAATGACTTTTTATTTAAATAAGCATTCTATTTTAAAGTTATAAGTAATTTATATTGTATATAACGTGTTATTAGTTAGTTTTGTATATATAGTACAAAGTATGTAAATTATGTAATTGTTCACTGAAAACCCCAGACGGGATGTGTTCAATAAAATGTATGTATGTTCCACAGAATAGGACTGATTATAAAGAAACAATTAAAACGTCATTTTATGCCATAATTGACCAAATAATGCACAGAAATTTTATTAAAAATGCTTAAGGAGATGAATATGGATTAAATTTTAGTTGAACTTAATATTATCGTTACTTTTACTTTAAGAGATTGTTCAACACTGCTAGAGGCAATTCAAACCGGCCGTTGGGACTTAAATGGTGACCACCGCTTAATAGAAGTGACCGCATATTGAGGTAAAAATCACAGTTATTTAGGAGTAACAATTGCTCAACTGCTCAATACAAGGTGAATGGTTAGATTTCGAATGGTTAGGTTACTCTTTGGAAACGTGATACGCGGTAATCAACAAATTCTTACGGGTGCATTTTATACAGACAAAATATGTTATGGTTTCTGAAGGAAACCCTCATTACTAACGCTAGAACTGCTCAAAACATGGATCTTTATCAACTTGATTCAAATGTTTCATCGACTCATTTCTACATTTTCCTATCAGGTTGATCATTAGGATTCATTACAAAGTAATTTATATTCGTTGCAGCGTAATTAGAATATTTCGCTTGATTAACAGTGCTACTTTAAAAAAAAAATGTTGGGTCAACTTTTTCACATAAGTACAATTTTTTCCCCATTGAGGGGAAGGGGAGAGTTGAGAATGAAAAGAGATCAATAAGAGTTTTGCGTTGAGGTTGTATCGTTAGCTCAGGATATTTATTGGTATAATCTTGAAATAAAACATGCATGTTTTACAAAGAACCTGTTAAATCGGGAGGATACTAAGTACCTATTAACTTTGTGGCAGGGTCAGACGGGAAAATGGCTTGGCTTGAGATTCATGAAAGGTCTATACGTCATTACTAAGACCGAAATATTCCAATTATCTTCCGGCCTGCATGACATGACTCAGCCCAGCAGTCACGCTGGGCCGACCAACACCGTATTACAATAAAAATGAGGCATGTAAAATAACCCTTGCAGCTCCTATCAATAGCAGTCAGGTCGTAAAACTTGTCAATGTATCTCACGCGAGGGATGACTGAATAAATTTTTTAGCTAATAGTTAAAAGAGGCTATCGAGAAATTGTTCACTTAGACCTTATGCCTTAATTAATAATTACAAAATGACTTACAACCAAACAGTCACTAACTTCTTAATTTCTGCCGGTATCAAAATGGATGCATGTCATTCCAATTCCCAAACAGCATATCACCCAACCTCCCAAAATGCACTTGGAGTCACTGCAACAAGTCTGTGGTTGAGTTCTGAAAAAGAGAAAGTTACATTACATATGTACAGCCATAGTTAAATCTAAAAGAAAATAAGAATGATGAACACCTGCAGTCTACTTTAAAACTACACTGTCCGTTCCAATGAAAAAAGCAATCACAGAAATGAAGTAAAATGATATCTTCTACCAGTACTTGAAATAAGTTAACCTCAGATTCTCTCAAACCCCAAGTGCATAGATCTCAATTTCAATTGAGCCATAATCAATGCGTTCTTTCAAGGACATAACATTCATAACAGTTTTCAATTCCAAAAAACAAAGAAACAAAAAAAAAAACAGGATACAGTTATTCACTAAGAAGGATGCTAAGATTTTCCCAAAACGACACCCATGACACTTAAACTTTGGTGCAGATTGGCGTGCCCACACGAACGACTAAATCAATTCTATATTAGCCCCAAACGCTGCACTTTGGTTGAAATAAATAAGATAGCAACGGCGTGGTGACGCAATCTGTGAGTTGAGCTTTTGTTCCGCGATTATTGGCTTATCAAGCAAGAAGAAAAGGGAGGGAGGGGTGGAGTAATTAGTTGATCATGTGAAGATTGGGGCAAAATGGCTCTATTAGCTAGCGAGAGTAAGAAGTGAAACTGGTACGCTGATCTCTAAGTGATGATTATAAAACACATAAACTACAGCTCTAGAGAACATATTACTCGCCTTGTGGTCTCTGACATGGGAAAGAGTATTTGGTTTGTCATTTGTGAAGTCCAAACACCTCGTAATCTATCACAGTAAAATTATTTACTCCCCCCTGGAATGTTGCAGCGTTCCGTCCTGTAGGACACTGATAAGAGTTGCCGATGTAGGTGTAACTTGATGTATTGAGATTTGCGTTTCCTGATATATGCAAGTCATGCCCTGCTCCAAATGTTGGTCCATGGCTTGCGCTACAGAAGATGGCATGCTCGTGACTGTTAACAAGCGGCATTTTAGTTGGACCCAGTCCACTGGGGTTGACTATGCTGAAAAAGAATGCCTGTGAGCACCTGATCCATTCATTGGAACCTGTCGGTAAGACAGAAATAATGCTACAGATTTAATATTTGCATTATAAAACAAATAAGAAATCAAGACATCCGCTGAAAAAGCGGCTATATCACAATTGTGTTTTACGCTGGCAAAACATGTTCATTCAAATCGGTTTAATTGAAGTAAAATAAAAAACGGAGAACTGAGAAAACTGAATTTTCCATAGGATTTAGTAGCTATTAATTTATATTTTCAAAGCACTGAAGTTAAAGCCAATAAAAATAATTCTAAGCGGCTTCTAACAAGAAAAGAAAATTTAAACCGTGTTTGACAAAGCTACCTTAAAACATTTTTAAGCTCTGGTATAAATAGGGTATTGTTTATCTTACTATTGATTTTGTTCAGGACTCTCACTGGTTCAATTTTGGGAAAGGAAATAAAACATACATGTCGATTATTTTGTATTGCTACGAAGTGTCGAATTGAATAGCTTAAAACCTCTTAACATAGGTAATCATTTTCTCGACGGTCAAAAACAGAAATTGTTTAGGCAATCTTAAATGAGGCATTATACTAAACAAATAGTAAATTCAGACAATGGGCTATTTCTTACTCTAGCTGTTTTAATGCAACAGTCCCATCAGGTAACGGGACCCTTCTAAAATTATTCCTCCTGGAAAGTTAGAATATACTTTCAAAAAATTTACTATTATTATGATGCGGTTAGGCATTTTTGGACATTAAAACTGATGTGCTTTTATAATCTAGTGGAGGGACAGGGGGGAGAGGGTGAGTAACCTTAAGTTCCTTACATTAACAATGTCTAGCTTGTTACGCTTTAGAGACTCCACACGTAAATAAAACAAAAGATATGTTCTAGCTTGTTTTCCATCACCTTAACTAAAACATAAAAATAACATTTTAACCATAGCACAACTTTGAAATCGTCTTGAACGAGGGCTAATTGCTCGTCATGTTGATTACTTGCAATGCGTGTCTACATTGGAAGAAGTTTGAAGGGAATTTGAAATGCTAAATTTATAAATATATTTCATTCTGATTTCATTAACGGTTCAATTCTTATGAAAACTGAGATCCTACGCCAAACTTTTTTTTCTTTTGCACTTCTTTCTGTCTCTTTCCGCTTCAAGTTATTTTGCAGATCTTCTTTTCCTCTTTTGTAGCATCCTTCAAATATTGAAATTGAGTTTTATCACCGCTAAAAACGACTTAAAATAACATTACCGTACAAAGCCTCGTTATGATCAATCAATATACTTACTGTTCCACGATTTTTCAGTGAATCCTCCAAAAATGGAATTTTTGCTCTTCACAATGGTGACAGTGGGCCCTTTGTTGTCACATTTGGAGTGAAACGTTTGAGCCTCGAAGCCATCTCGGGAACCTCTGAAAAGAAGCTTCCATTTGCCCTCTTGTGGAAGCAACCAACCATTTAACACGCTTCGGTGCTCCTCATTCGTCAATATCACTGAATCTTCAAATTACTTCGGCGCTTTAGACGCTAACTCGTCCAGTATCCCTTGGATCTGGTAGAACTCAGCTTCCTCGGCAAGTTCGTCTAGAAATGTTGCTCCTACTGGCAGAGTTAATTTCCCAGTGCGAAGATAATTGAGTATGAACCTGAAGTGTGTTCCGTCTCGGTCGATAAAGAAAGCGCCATCATCAGAAGGTTTCATTTCAAACTTCCCTGAGAACATGGCTGCTAGCATTGAATTTGGATCTTTGGTCAGTGTTTGAAGACTTGTCGTAAAGCGATGACCGCCAACATTCAGCTGAATAGTCGAAGAAAAATGAACATGTTCCAACTTTTTCGACATGGCGTCGATCGCCTCCTTCTCGTGGCGAAGTCTTGCTGCTTCTCGTTGTAACATCTCACTGGCTTGTTTGATATAATTTTCAGCGTCCATAAAGACTTGATTGCCTTGTTGATCACCATCTACACTCATGGTCCTTGTTTCTTTAGGTGAGCTCTCAAGAGAAGAAGTGTTACTCTTGGGTCCTCTTCCAAACACAACGAAATCACGTAGCAAGAATCATTTAGCGACTTTGCTAACACTGGGGTCAGAATGAATGCTGGGATTGGCCGAGCCAGTACCTGTACCTGGTCGCTCAAGGAACATGTTGCTTCGCGCGGTCTATACCTTTGCTGGCGTTGTATGTGATGCAGAGTCCAAAAGCTCCGCAAATTTGTCTGTTTGCAAACCTTTTTGCCTTTTATGATGGATCGAGGTGATCATTTATCTTAGGGGGAATGTGAAAATGACCGTGGATATCCCGAAAGGTACAAAACTTTAACGAATACCGTGAGGGGACGCAAATCGTCTGCACTGGAAGTACACATCAAACTTCCCAGGCGTTCCAATCCAATTAAATATGTGGTTTTTATGTCAGCGTTTGCGTGGTTAATATCGTTAGCGCCCCTTTCGGTTGGATCTGGACAGTGTCTGTTTTTGGATCTGGACAATGTTCTTTTTTTTTCCCAGATTGCTTTGTAGTGCATGTAGTATTCTTAAGGCTGGTTTTCACTTGCGACGGAGTCGTAGTCGGAGTCGTAATCAGAAGCGTGGGGCGATACGATCTAGTGAAAATCAAACCGACGGAGTCGGAAGCAGAACACCGATTCTGCTTATGACTCTGTCGCTTACGAAAACTGCATTGTCGGAGTCGGAAGCGGAAGCGGAAGAATAAACCAATCGCAATCCTCGATTCCATCTTTCCAAAATGTACAAATAGCCGTAACAAATTTAAACGTGTGAACTTGACGGTAAAATTACGAAATTAAAAGTTAAAATACTCGAACTGAACCAACAGAAAGTAGAATTCACGATCACCAAGTCGTAATTCGCTGACG